ACACCCAGATAGATTTTTAGAAAGAAACAAAGACTTACAGGGTAAAATGATTTCTTTTAAAAGAAGATACATCCAAACTTTTTTCAAATTTTTTGAAGGTTGTGTCTAGCTTTTCTTCAATGAGTTAAAGGTGGTGGACCCGTGTGATTCTATACCATCATAAGTTCAAACAACCGGCTGAATCACAAAGTTCAATTCTAATATGGTATGAACACGGTTTAGGGTAACAATAGATGGAGTCTTGAGCGAATTTTACAAACTTCGATTTTGATATAATCTTATAATTTTAAAATCTAAAATCTCATCGAACTTGAATAGTATTAAAATTTAATTAAATTTTCTGTCTAATTAAATTTCTAACTAAATCGATCTAATTTAAATAATATATTAATTAAATATATATTATTATAAAAATATATTTTTAATTTAAATCATCCCTAAAATGATTATGGGATAAAATCTGTACCGGTAAGCTTAAATATATTAATCGCTTGTTCGATTGGCTTAATTCATATATTTAGTAAAGTGTTTACTTACGTTTGCTTGGTTTAGTTTTCACTCAAACTTTAATTTATAAAATATTTTTATAGTTTGACATATTTAATAATAATTTTTGAATATATTCTAATATTTATTTTTTGTTTCCTCAACTGAAAAAAGAAATAAAAAATGATAGTGATTATAAATGCTGATATTCTTTTTTTAAAAAAATAAAATGCCGATATCCTTATATTATGAAATTATATTATAATAAATAAATTTTTTAAAAAAATATTTTTTAAAAAATAATTAATTAAAAACTTAAAACTAATTAAGAACCCAAATAATAAGATCTATTTAATTTAAAATGTAAAATAAAATAAACTCTTAATTCAAGTTAATTTGGGAGATTTTTAAGTTTGCAGTTGATTGTTTTAGTATAAAATATTTGTATGAATTTTTTTTTTAATCTCATAGTTGATGACTATAAATATTGATTCCGTACATATTTACTTCATCATTTAGTGGATGATAAGAATTATATTATGATCAATATGCCAAAGAAAAAGTTGAGAGACCACAAGAACATTTTATTACACTGCAAAGGAAATACAGAGAAAGCTTACAATCAACTAGAAAAGAAATATTCCAACAATGAAAAAAATTCAGTGTTATCCTCCATTGTTGAAGAATTAATATAGTCGTCACCAAGAAACAAGTCATTGTCAGTTGTTGCTCCAGTAACTGAAAAATTATTATCTTTAAAATTTGATTCAGACAAATTCTGCTTGTCTATGCTTTTATCACTATGAGAAAATAGTGGAACTAATCCAGTAGCATTATCTTGAAGAAATGAAGGATTCTCATCTCTGAACTCCCATTCAAAAGAAGTATTAATATGGTGATCCAAGTCATTGGAGGAGATGGACGGTGAAAATTGTTCATTTTGACTATATGAAGTAGTGATCTTATCATTCATCCAACTAAAATTTTGATCACCAATACAAAAAGACGTAGCACATCTCTCGATGCCATTAGAGAAGAATAATGGGGCTTCAAATGTAGTACCCATATCATTGTGATAATTCTCAATATCTTGACTGCCATTGTTGGTATTGTGTGTAAGCATAGTAGATTTTAGAGGCAACATTTGCATAAAATCAACATTGTTCTTGTTTCCATCAATGTTCACTATATTTTGATCAATGGAACCACCATGATAAGCAGAAGTTGATAAATTTTGAAACACAACAGATGACATAAACTGACTTTGATCACCACTCTCATCATTGTACTCATGATCAATATTCATTATATTTTCAGCAAAGCAACCAAGATGATAGTTTTGATGATCATTACTAATATCTTGATAATTTTCGACACCATTAGAGAAGAATAATGGGGGTTCAAATGTAGTACCCATATCATAGTGATAGTTCTCAATATCTTGGGTGTCATTGTTGGTATTGTGTGTAAACATAGTAGAGTTTAGAGGCAACATCTGCATAAAAGCAACATTGTTCTTGTTTCCATCAACGTTCACCATATTTTGATCAATGCAACCATCTTGATAAGTAGAAGTTGATAAATTTTGAAACACAACAGATGGCATAAACTGACTCTGATCGCCACTTTCATTATTGTACTCATGATTAATATTCATTATATTTTCAGCAAAGCACCCAAGATGATAGTTTTGATGATCACCACTACTAATATCTTGATAATTTTCGACGCCATTAGAGAAGAATAATGGGGCTTCAAATGTAGTACCCATATCATTGTGATAATTCTCAATATCTTGGCTGCCATTGTTGGTATTGTGTGTAAGCATAGTAGATTTTAGAGGCAACATTTGCATAAAATCAACATAGTTCTTGTATCCATCAATGTCTACTATATTTTGATCAATACAACTACCATGATAAGTAGAAGTTGATAAATTTTGAAACACAACTGATGACATAAACTGACTTTGATCACCACTCTCATTGTTGTACTCATGATTAATGTTCATCATATTTTCAGCAAAGCACTCAAGATGATAGTTTTGATGATGACTACTACTAACATCTCGATTGTTAGAAGTTGATAATTTTTGAAGTTTGAGCGCCACATTTTCTCTCACCTTTTCTAACTTCTCGATGATTGATGTCACCTCTTCAGGTGTTTGGTAAACATCAAAGTCTTCATTTTCCCACCAAAACTCTTCAGACTCTCTCTTTCTCTTCTTGGTCTTGGACACATTATTGTTAGGAGTTAATTGCTCCATAGTTTGATGAGACGAAGAAGTAGAAAGATTATTGTAATTGTTGATGGGATGAGAGACATGGTTATTGAGGAATGTGTCGAGAAGAAGATTGATGTTAGGGTGTGCAAAAGTATAAAACTTTTCTTTGGCCAAAGGAGCAGAAACCAAAATTACAACCTGAGTATTGCAGAGAACACACAATTCTGCTGCTTTGTTAAACAGACCCGTTCGTCTTTTACTGAATGTAACAGCTCTCTGCTCTTTTGTTTCACGTTTTTGCATTGGAATTTTTCTTTTTTTCACTGAACTGCAAGTAGTTGCACTCATTTTTTCTGATCGAATTGTAGGTGAAACTTTCTGATAAAAATATTACAATACGTCAACTTTCATCTCACTAAAAAAATACTCATTGTAATTGAGAATACAATTCATTATATTACTATTTTCTAGCAAACCAATACACGATAATTGTTTTACACAAATATTATACATTATAATTACTGGATATAGCACAATATACTGTATAAATATACTTGTATGTCAAATAATTAACATTCTTATTTACAAACTAAGAAATTATGTTCACCAACAAAATTCAGTTTATTTTTTATTTCAATTTAAGTCTTATTTACCATCAAATTGAAGAAGTAAATTGATAATGTCTTAGTATAACATTTTTAATATTATAATGTTTTAATTTAATCTTATTTGCTTGTTAAAATTTGAAGATTAAACTTTGTTGTCGGTCAATACAATTTTAGATGCAACTAAATTTTACAAACACATCAAAAAAATATAATATGCATTACAATTCGGTTCAACCCTCAATAATACATCACAAATAATAACAATAATGAAATTCATCGCAAAAATATTATTACAAATAACATACGCTTAAACTTGGTTAAAATCAAATTATAATTTGTGCTCGGCCCACAACTTTAAAAAAAAATTAATAATAACAACTGAATTTAGCAACTTATAAAACCCATAAAAGTTAATAAACTTCATAATAATAAGAATATAGTTTAATTATCTAAGAAAAAAAATACAAGTCAATGGGCTTCGTTACATTCATTATATTGTTGAATGAAATTAAAATATTTGAAACCCATAATTCAAAAACAATATTGTGTGTCATATCATCGTGATAATAATAATATTACAAACGAAATAGGCTCGAAACTTATAACTATTACATACAACCCGTAAAAAATATAACAAAATTTCGTAACAATATTAAAACAATTCAATAGGCTTGATACCTATGAATATTACATATATATTGTAATATGGAATACAACCAAATGATCCAAAATCTATTATTCTAATACAATAATGTGGGTAATATCATCGTGATAATAATAATATTACAACGAAATAGGCTCGAAATTTATAACTATTACATACAACCCGTAAAAAATATAACAAAACTTCGTAACAATATTAAAACAATTCAATAGGCTTGATACCTACGAATATTACATATATATTGTAATATGGAATACAACCAAATGATCCGAAATCCATTATTCAAATACAATAATGTGGGTAATATCATGACGAAAATAATAAAAATACAATCCAATAGGCTCAAAGCTTATAAATATTACATACAACCTATAAAAAATATAACAAAACTTCGTAACAATATTAAAACAATTCAATAGGCTTGATACCTATGAATATTACATATATATTATAATATGAAATACAACCAAATGATCCGAAATCCATTATCCAAATACAATAATGTGGGTAATATCATGACGAAAATAATAAAAATACAATCCAATAGGCTCAAAACTTATAAATATTATATACAACCTGTAAAAAATATTACAAAACTTAATAACAATATTATAAGATAAATAAACAGACTTGACGCCTACAAATATTACATACATATTGTAATATGGAATACAACCACAAGATCCAAAACCCATAATTTGAGTACAACTAATTGAAAAAATATATAATATATATAATAATAATAGAACCCAATAGGCTTCTCATCCAATAAAAATAATATACATTGGAATTTCAACTATAAACAGACTTGACACCTACAAATATTACATATATATTGTAATATGGAATACAACCACAAGATCCAAAACCCATAATTTGAGTACAATTAATTGAAAAAATATATAATATATATAATAATAATAGAACCCAATATGCTTCTCATCCAATAAAAATAATATACATTGGAATTTCAACTATAAGCCCCGAATAATTGAAATAACAAACATAATAACGCAGAGAACCCGTAATAATACAATCCATTATACAATTGTAGTTTGTCCTCAAACTAAATGAAAATTATATACATTATAATTAGTCCTCAAACCCCAAATAGCAGAACCACCACCATTGCAATTTGTACCCAGTTAAAAAACAAAGATACATTATGATTAGGACTCCTCCATGGGGTTTGAGGCCATTACGTTGTAATGGTGAGCTCAAACCTTAATAACATTATAAAGATTGCATTTTACAGATTCATTTCAAGATTCTCAAATGCAAAACTCCACACAACCTAATTACAGAAAAGCCAGGGAGAAGTAATCAGTCTTATTTCAAGATCTAGGGTTTTGATCTCTTTTCGTTTTTTTATTTTCACAGAGGATTTTCTGGGTTTCTTTTTTAATATTTTTTATTGGTCGTTTGTTACCGAAAAAGGATTACACGGATCTTAGATTTTGGTGACTTTTCCCTAAATGAGTGTTACGGTGGATTCCAGATCTGACTCAGAGGACATGATTTTATGTTTTATCTCGTAAAAGAATCACGAATATTAAGAGAACCACAAACATTAAAGAGTTCTTTGAAAAAATTAAAGAAGAAGATTTGCAATATGAATCTTTAATGGAAAAAAAAAAAAGAAAGCGGCAGTGGAGATCCTTACCAGAGAAGCGAGCGGAGAAGCAAAGTCGAAGCAGTCGATTGAATTTGAGAGAAATCGGAAGGAAACGAAACGTTTCCAATGAACAGAGAGAATCGGGAGGAAAGGGAAGAAGGAATGTGATCTGTCTGAAAGCTGAGTAGAGAGAGGGAGTGGTCGGTGCTATATATATAGAGAGAAGAAGACCGTTGGAACAGCTGTATTTCCAATTTTGCCCCTAAACCTTTCTAAATTCCCTTAAAACACTCCCCCCTTCCCGCCAATAACCTCTTCCAAAACGCTGTCGTTTGCAGGTTATGAGTTGGGGCTGTTAAATTAATTTAATTATAATTATAACTATAATTTGCAAGCAAAATAATAATGTATAACAAAACAAATTAAAAATATAAAAAAAAATCATAAAAATAATAAATTAATCATAAAATTACAAATTTAAATTAAAAAAGAGATGTTCAATTACAGAATTTTCTAGAAAAAAAATATTATTTTTAAAATTAAACCAAAACAAAATATATATTTAAAAATTATTATTTATTTTTCCTAAAAATTAAATTTAAAATAATAAATTAAATAGCACTAATATTTAATAAAATAGATTACTCAGAGAGGAACAATCACATAAAAAATTATGAAAAATCTCGAAAAGAAAAATAAAACATAACAAAACAGGTTAAACATGTATTCAGATCAATAGAAGAATAAGCTGAAATAAGGTAAAACCAAAGAGGCTAACTGTTTCAATAGTCTCTTTCAGGAGAAGCTTCTCACAAATCAAACATTCATGTAGTGAAAATCAAAACAGATGAAAGGTATATATTCCTTATATACAGAAGCTAACCATACCATCTTATCTAACACATTCGTAAAAAAAATTAAAATGAACAAAAAAGAAAAACAACTTGAGAATGAAAAGCATATCGACCTTGATTAATATCATGCAAGGAATGTGGAGCTGACTAGTTTTCAGTCTTTACCAAAAACTTGAACCAGCACTAAGCACTCTCTTATCGAAACAAAACAATAAAACTGTAATACCCAAAGTCTTTATAAGGTAAGTCTCACTCTTTCTTGATAAAATATTTTTCACTAAATATCATACTCCACATAAACAGGATCCATAAAACCATGTGAGGAAAACAGCAGCTACCGCTAGCAGCTCCAATATGTCCACTAGAATCCTGTTACAGACAAAATCCCATATCGTATGTTCCCTTTCTTTTGACCTCTTGCACGACTTACTCCCCATAGGCTTATACAGGAACATTCATATATTAGCACCCAGAACCAACAATAGATTAACTTGTACTTTGCCTTAGTCCTGTAAGGTTCAAAGTTTTACACAAAAAATGTGTCTTACAAATGTTATGGTAATAGTTTGACTGTCAATCTTTTTTCTTATGTAGAACTTTGAGTTTTTGTTCAATTAGTGTTTTAATTATTGAATTAAAACACTTAATAAAAATGCTATCTAAAGCTTATAATCTCCAAACAACAGTCCAAATGAGTGGGGTATTATTATATTATTTCTGCATAAAAGATGATCGGATCAAGCACTAGAATAGTCTGAAGCGATTGACTGCAAGAATATTGCACAATGGCAGAAAATTTTCATAATGATGTTGCAAGCATAACGATTGCAAATTAATCTTTACGGAAAATTAGTGGAGAAATGAAGATAGAAGAACAGAAGTGAAATATAAGAATTTTCGAAGAGGGTAATTTATGATTATTATAAATGAATTGAATATGGTAATTTGTGATTGTCACTTTCTTTTCTTTAGGTGATAGGGTTGGTTATTTTCTAGTTTTTAATATGTAAATTTTATAGTTTAAAATATTGATTTTGTTCTCCATTTTATTAATGTCAAAGCATTTTTTTCAAGTTGAGTTCATAATTATTTTAGACTCGATTTTAATAAATATACACAGTGTTAAAAATTGAATAAAAATTTAACCTATGTCGAGAAAAGATTTTCTCTGCGTAGAATTTATTTTTCGTTAGAAAACTTAGAAAGATTAAAAAACAGTTGTAATCGAACTTTTTTTAATTTATTAATAATATGATTGTATAGATTAAATAAAATCAATCAATCTTTCTCGATAAGTTTAATAAAATTTAATAATTATTATTATTTTAAAACACAGAAAATAAATAGTAAAATAAAAGAATTTTCTTCATTTTTTGTTGGAATTAAATTTATATATATATATATATACATATATGAATTGAAAGAAGCATGAGAAAAAAAAAATGTTAATTTGATCCAAAAATAATAATATATGAACTGGGCAGATGGTGGACAAGAACGGGCATCTAATCAAGTTTTGATTTTAAAGCTTCTGGTAACAGGTGGGTTTTCTGGATTTTCAAGTCCCGAGCTTCTTCTCCAGCATTTCATCCACTGTCCCAACCAGATCAAACAGATTCATTCCCTTCTTATCACCCGCGGCTCTCTCCTCAACCACACTTCTTCATGGAACACCGTTCTCATTTACAACACTCTCATTTGATCTTATCTCTCTACGGGACTCTCTTGTACTTCTTTACTACTTTTCACCCGCATGATTGCACACGGACTTTCACCAAACCATCTCACTTTCCCGTCTCTAATCAAAGCTGCTTCTTGCTCTCCCTCATCTGGCCCAATTCTCCATGCTCATGCTCTCAAATGGGGTGTTTTATGCGACCCATTTGTGCAAACTTCATCCGTGAGTGTGGACGCCGAAGTGTGTGACATACGCACTGCACGTAAGATGTTTGTGGAAATTCCTCATCCATGTATTGTAGCGTGTAATGCTTTACTTGACGCTTTTGGGAGGAATGGAGACATGGGTTCTGCTTTTCTGTATTTCCAGAGCATGCCCGGGAAGGACGTGGTTTCATGGACGAGTGTTATTAATGGGTTCGTGATGAATGGACGCTTTGTTGATGCATTGCCACTTTTTGCAAAGATTATGGTTCACGAGGATGTGGTCCGCGGTTCCGTAAAGTCTAATGAGGCTGCATTTGTTACTGTGCTGTCTTCTTGTGCTAATTTAGATGGAACTGGTCTTTATCAAAGGAAGCAGATACATGGATATGTTGTTAAGAATGGGTTCAGTTTGAGCGCTGTCGTGGGGGCTGCGTTGGTAGATTTGTATGGAAAGGCAGGTTGTTTGGAGACTGCAAAAAGAGTATTCAATCGGATAGAGGTTAAAGAGGTTTTCACTTGGAATGCAATGATTTCTTCACTTGCCTGTCATGGCAGGGCGAAGCAAGCTCTATGTATGTTTGAGAAGATGAAAGTGCAAGGATTTTGCTCCAATGAGGTTACCTTTGTTGCTATTCTTACATCTTGTGCTCGAGCAAAACTTGTTGACTTGGGTTTGAAGTTGTTTCTGTAAGTGTCAAGTCGATATGGGTTTGTACCAATAATGGAGCATTATGGCTGTGCTGTTGATCTCTTGGGCCGAGCAGGACTTCTGAGAGATGCAGTTGAGTTTGTACTTTGCATGCCCTTGCTGCCTGATGCCTCTGTTTTGGGAGCTCTTTCTGGTGCTTGTAAGATTCATGGGGACGTTCAGTTGGGAAATGAAGTAGGAAAGAAGCTCCTTGAATTACAGCCAAAACATTGTGGCCGATATGTGGTGTTGTCAAATATAAGTGCTGTTGGGGAAAGGTGGGGAGATGCTGCTAATTGGAGGAAAGCGATGGCAGAGTCTAAAATCCGAAAAATTCCAGCATGTAGTTTGATTGGCTCCATCAAAGTTGATTCACTAAGCGGATAATTTGTTTCTTAATCAGTTACTACATGTTAGTGCACAAGAGATAACACTCACACAAATGTCATTTACCTATTGACCAAATTTGAGTAAGGTTTCTACATCCGGGATTCTGATGTGATTTATCTTTTTTGCTCTAGTTATAAGATTAACCTAGTACATGGGAATACAGATACTAGAAGGGATTTTTAGGTCATAATTTTTATAAGTGACAATTGATAGATTTGGTTGACTACTGAGTTGTTTATGTGAATATGAAGCAAATTTTATATGTGAGTGATAGATAATACACATAAAACGTTTTTAGAATTATTTTATATGTGGAATCGATTCTTGAGACATGGATTTGCTCTTTTTATTCAGAAAGCTTTCCTAGAAAGGATGTATTAATAGATTAAGTATTATTAATTAGTTTGTGAATTGCTTTTAGTAAGGCAATTAGGTTTTTTCATAGATGATGATGCACGAGGATGGGGCTGGAGGTTTTGCAAAGCCCATTCTAATTATTATGCTAACTTAAATTAAGGTGGCATTTATAAAAGGAAGCATTTACATGGCTAGATTGTCAAGGATGAGATTTTCTTCAGGTATTTGTATGGTGATAGATGTATTGGGAGACTAATTAAAGATTAGAGTATCTTATTGAATGTAACTCAAAATCTTATGGATAATTTTTAATGTAGTTTGAAGTTATGGTACTTAAATGATATTTGGTCCTAGAAGAGAATTCTAGGATCCGATCAATTCTAGGGTCTAATCAAGAATACCTAAAAGTCCTCTGTATTTATCACATGTAGTTATTAATTAATACCTTGTAAAAGCTAAGATGCATTGTTGGAGTAATTAAAGAAGACGGAAATTTTGTTAAAGGCAAATGGTAAGATGTGATTTAGCTCACTAGCTTATCATGATTGTTAAAGTGGAAATTTCCTCCAAAAAAATATCATAATTGATTTGCTTGAGCCAACAAATTTATGTCGATCCTTGGTGCTTTATTATCTATTCATCACCGATCTGCTTTCAATCGATACTCCTGAAATTTTTGGTTATCAATGGATGCAGCGAGTGCAGAGCAGCGAGCTTCCTCCTCAGGTTCTGGATATGCTTAGTATATGTTCTTAAGTTTATGAGGTGCTGGAGCTTCACGGATCACCTTTATAGGGCCCTACTGCGGGCAGGAATTCATACATCTAAAGATGATGATGGGGTTGAAAGAGGAAAGGATATGAATAAAATAACTTGAAAAAGCCATTGGAGTCTCAATATAAATAATTATCTTCTCCTAAAATTGTGCCTCTTCTCTGTGGTTTCCTGATGAACTAGGTAAGATCATGTAACACAGGAGAACCACTGAACAGATAACTTGCCAGTGTTCTATGAAGTAGATCCAACACATGTTAGGAAGTATACTGCGAGGGAGTTTTTCTGAAACATTTGCCGCACATGAAGAGCACCTAAAAGATGTAAAGAACAAAATACAACAGCTGAGGTGCTGCGAGGGAGGTTGCTGACTTGGGAGAAATGATTTTTGTGACATATGTAAGCTTGATCTCAGCTTTCTTCTCAATAAACTACAAACTATTACCACGCATTTTCTTTGTGTTAATTCTAGAGCAGAGGGTTTAGAGACACGGCCATAATTTTGTCGAAAGCATTGTGAAATATATAAGTTTCCTCTGTTTTACGGATTTTTATTTTTATATGTGCTCCATAACATACTTCTCAAATTTAAATGATCAATTTACATGGATAAATGTGCATATAATAAATTATATTTAATTGGTTAGTTTGTAACTGTTATTTGGAAAACTCCACGTTCTCCGCTTGTTGAGATTTTTACTAAATTTCAGCAGTTGGGAAGCAATCATAACTTTCGTTTTTTTTTCTAGGCAGGCATGAGGCACTGTTCAATTTCGCCCAATAGTTAGTTGGAAGAGATGATCTTGGAGAAGAAATCAAGCCTGAACTCAAGATGGATCAAATGGAGTTGACATAGCAAGTGGGATTGGAGGGACAGGGAAGATGATATTTGCTAAGACTGTTTATAACATCAACTTTGAAAAATTCAGGGACAGAAGATTTCTTGCAGATGTCAGAGCAACTGCAGCACAGTTTCCACGGTTTGCTTCACTTACAAGAACAACTTCTTTTGGATTTATCAAGATTTAGAAATACAAGTTCAACAATGTTGATGAGGGGATTAGTAAGATAAAAAAGAATTATATGCTTTATAGGAGTTCTTGTTGTTCCCGATGACGTGGATGACTCGGGACATTTAGATAAAATAATTGGAATGCTAGAATGGTTTTCCCCTGGAAGCAAAATCATTATAATTAGGAATCACCAGCTTTACGTATTTTTAAATCTGAGCATCTTTGAGGACTAATTTTTTGTTCATTGATTCTCATATTTGCTTGGCTTTTTTGCAAGAGCAATACACAGAGAACAAATAGTCAGAAAGAGATAAAGAATTGCATAGAGAAGCTCATAGCGTACAGAGTGGAGTTTGCTGGGGCTCTTTCTTGCCCGCGTTTGGTGTGAATGTAACCAAAGTTAGGTATGAATTTTTATTAAAACTTTATATTACATTAAAATATTAGGTACAATAAAATTAAGACTGAAAATTCTTTTTTACAAAAAAAAAGGTACAAAAACATATTTTTACCATTGCTGAATTTTTTTAGAAAAAAATAGGAAGAAGATGTATGCTAACGAATTAACAACGTACCCACCTGATCTTTCTCTTCTAACTATCTCAACAACAGGCTCAGGCATGTCATACACAGGATTTTGAACCATATATTGCTGATACATTGACCTACTCGTGATTATACCTTCGTCTACTTGAGGGAATTTTGAATGGATGAATTTACTTTCTTCTACACCTTCTGTTTCATCAGCTTGAATCTGATATGAGAATTGATCAGGCCATGGCGGCAATGGAGGAGCTGAGGACTGGACGGAGGAGCATGAACAGCAACAACACTGGTGCATCGGAACAGGGTAGTGGGGCTCCTCAAGGTACTTCCTTTTCTTCTTGGATCTTGACCAGATTTTGAGCTTCTTCACAGCCTTCATCATTTTCATGGTAAAACCTAGATAGATTTTCAGAAAGAAACAAGGACTTGTAGGGTAAAGTGATTTTTTTTAGAAGAAGATACATCCAAATTTTTTTCAACTTTTTGGACCGTTGGCTCTATACCATCATAAGTAAAACAACTGGCTGAATCACAAAGTTCAATTCTCATATGGTTTGAACATGGTTTAGGGTAACAATAGATGGAGTCTTGAGTGAATTTTACAAACTTTGATTTCGGTATAGTTTTATAATTTTAAAATATAAAACTTTATCGAATCCGAGTAGGTTTTAAAATTTAATTAAATTTTTTATCCAATTAGATTTCTGACTAAATCAATTTCTATTATATATAAATATATTATTTAAATTAAATATATATTATTATAAAAATATATTTTTAATTTAAGTCATCCCTAGAATGATTATGCGATAAAATCTGTACCGGTAAGCTTAAATAAATAAATTTCTTGTTCGTTTGGCTTAATTCATATATTTAGTAAAATATTGATTTATGTCCGTTAGGTTTAATTTTTACCCGAACATTAATCTATAAAATATTTTTATGATTTGATATATTTAATAATAAATTTTAAATATATTTTATTTTTTTTTTATTTCTTCAACTGAAGAAAGAAATTAAAAATGATAGTGATTATAAATGTTGATATCTTTTTTTTAAAATAAAATACTGATATCTTTATATTATAATAAATAAAATTTTGTTCTAAATATTTTTTAAAAATAATTAATTAAATACTTAAAACTAATTAAGAACCCAAATAATAAGAGCTATTTAATTTAAAATATAAAATAAAATTAACTCTTAATTCTAGTTAATTTGGGAGATTTTTAAGTTTGGGGTTGATTGGTCGAGTATAAAATATTTGTATGAATTTTTCTTTTTTAATCTCATAGTTGATGACTATAAATATTGATTCCGTACACATTTACTTCATCATTTAGGGGATGATAAGAATTAAACTATGATCAATATGCCAAAGAAAAAATTGAGAGATCACAAGAACATTTTATTACACTGCAAAGGAAATACAGAGAAAGCTTACAATCAACTAGAAAAGAAAGATTCCAACAATGAAAAAAATTCAGTGTTATCCTCCATTGTTGAAGAATTAACATAGTCGTCACCAAGAAACAAGTCATTGTAAGTTGTTCCTCCAGTAACTGAAAAACTATTATCTTTAAAATTTGATTCAGACAAATTCTGCTTGTCTATGCCTTTATCACTATGAGAAAATAGTGGAACTAATCCAGTAGCATTATCTTGAAGAAATGAAGGATTCTCATCTCTGAACTCCCATTCAAAAGAAGTATTGATATGGTGATCCAAGTCATTGGAGGAGAAGGACGGTGAAAATTGTTCATTTTGACTGTATGAAGTAGTGATCTTATCATTCATCCAACTAAAATTTTGATCACCAATACAAAGAGACGTAGCACATCTCTCGATGCCATTAGAGAAAAATAATGGGGGTTCAAATGTAGTACCCATATCATAGTGATAGTTCTCAATATCTTGGGTGCCATTGTTGGTATTGTCTGTAAACATAGTAGAGTTTAGAGGCAACATCTGCATAAAAGCAACATTGTTCTTGTTTCCATCAACGTTCACCATATTTTGATCAATGCAACCATCTTGATAAGTAGAAGTTGATAAATTTTGAAACACAACAGATGGCATAAACTGACTCTGATCGCCACTTTCATTATTGTACTCATGATTAATATTCATTATATTTTCAGCAAAGCACCCAAGATGATAGTTTTGATGATCACCACTACTAATATCTTGATAATTTTCGACGCCATTAGGGAAGAATAATGGGGCTTCAAATGTAGTACCCATATCATTGTGATAATTCTGAATATCTTGGCTGCCATTGTTGGTATTGTGTGTAAGCATAGTAGATTTTAGAGGCAACATTTGCATAAAATCAACATTGTTCTTGAATCCATCAATGTCCACTATATTTTGATCAATGCAACTACCATGATAAGTAGAAGTTGATAAATTCTGAAACACAACGGATGTCATAAACTGACTTTGATCACCACTCTCTTTACTGTACTCATTATTAATGTTCATCATATCTTCAGCAAAGCACCGAAGATGATAGTTTTGATGATGACTACTACTAACATCTTGATTATTAGAAGTTGATAATTTTTGAAGTTTGAGCGCCACATTTTCTCTCACCTTTTCTAACTTCTCGATGATTGATGTCACCTCTTCAGGTGTTTGGTAAACATCAAAGTCTTCATTTTCCCACCAAAACTCTTCCGACTCTCTCTTTCTCTTCTTGGTCTTGGACACATTATTGTTAGGAGTTAATTGCTCCATATTTTGATAAGAGGAAGAAGTAGAAAGATTATTGTAATTGTTGATGGGATGAGAGACATGGTTATTGAGGAATGTGTCGAGAAGAAGATTGATGTTAGGGTGTGCAAAAGTATAAAACTTTTCTTTGGCCAAAGGAGCAGAAACCAAAATTACAACCTGAGCATTGCAGAGAACACACAATTCTGCTGCTTTGTTAAACAGACCCGTTCGTCTTTTACTGAATGTAACAGCTCTCTGCTCTTTTGTTTCACGTTTTTGCATTGGAATTTTTCTTTTTTTCACTGAACTGCAAGTAGTTGCACTCATTTTTTCTGATCGAATTGTAGGTGAAACTTTCTGATAAAAATATTACAATACGTCAACTTTCATCTCACTAAAAAAATACTCATTGAAATTGAGAATACAATTCATTATATTACTATTTTCTAGCAAACCAATACACGATAATTGTTTTACACAAATATTATACATTATAATTACCGGATATAGCACAATATACTGTATAAATATACTTGTATGTCAAATAATTAACATTCTTATTTACAAACTAAGAAATTATGTTCACCAACAAGATTCAGTTTATTTTTTATTTCAATTTAAGTCTTATTTACCATCAAATTGAAGAAGTAAATTGATAATGTCTTAGTATAACATTTTTAATATTATAATGTTTTAATTTAATCTTATTTGCTTGTTAAAATTTGAAGATTAAACTTTGTTGTCGGTCAATACAATTTTAGATGCAATTAAATTTTACAAACACATCAAAAAAATATAATATGCATTACAATTCGGTTCAACCCTCCATAAGATATCATAAATAATAGCAATAATGAAATTCATCGCAAAAATATTATTACAATCCCATTTGGCTCCATGTCAATACAAATAACATACACTTAAAACTTGGTTAAAATCAAATTATAATTTGAGTTCGGCCCACAACTTTAAAAAAAAAATTAATAATAACAATAATACAATTGAGTTTAGCAACTTATAAAACCCATAAAAGTTAATAAACTTCGTAATAATAAGAATATAGTTTAATTATCTAAGAAAAAAAATACAAGTCAATGAGCTTCGTTACATTCATTATATTGTTGAATGAAACTAAAAAATTTGAAACCCATAATTCAAAAACAATATTGTGTGTCATATCATAATAATAATAATAATATTACAACGAAATAGGCTCGAAACTTATAACTATTACATACAACCCGTAAAAAATATAACAAAATTTCGTAACAATATTAAAACAATTCAATAGGCTTTATACCTATGAATATTACATACATATTGTAATATGGAATACAACCAAATGATCCGAAACTCATAATTCAAATACAATATTGTGTCATATCATCGTGATAATAATAATATTACAACGAAATAGGCTCGAAACTTATAACTATTACATACAATCCGTAAAAAATATAACAAAACTTCGTAACAATATTAAAATAATTCAATAGGCTTGATACCTATGAATATTACATATATATTGTAATATTGAATACAACCAAATGATCCGAAATCTATAATTCAAATACACTAATGTATGTAATATTAGGATGATAATAATAATAATACAACCCAATAGGCTCAAAGCTTATAAATATTATATACGATCCGTAAAAAATATAACAAAATTTCATAACAATATTAAAACAATTCAATAGGCTTGATGTCTATGAATATTACATACATATTGTAATATGGAATACAACCAAATGATCCGAAACTCATAATTCAAATACAATATTGTGTGTCGTATCATCATGATAATAATAATATTACAACGCAATAAACTCGAACTTTATAACTATTACATACAACCAGTAAAAAATATAACAAAATTTCGTAACAATATTAAAACAATTCAATAGGCTTGATACCTATGAATATTACATATATATTGTAATACGGAATACAACCAAATGATCCGAAATCCATTATTCAAATACAATAATGTGGGTAATATCATGACGAAAATAATAAAAATACAATCCTATAGGCTCAAAACTTATAAATATTATATACAACCTGTAAAAAGTATAACAAAACTTAATAACAATATTAGAAGATAAATAAACAGACTTGACGCCTACAAATATTACATACAGATTGTAATATGGAATACAACCACAAGATCCAAAACCCATAATTTGAGTACAACTAATATATAATATATATAATAATAATAGAACCCAATAGGCTTCTCATCCAATAAAAATAATATACATTGGATTTCACTATAAGCCCCGAATAATTGAAATAACAAACATAATAATATGCAGAGAACCCGTAATAATACAATCCATTATACAATTGTAGTTTGTCCTCAAACTAAATGAAAATTATATACATTATAATTAGTCCTCAAACCCCAAATAGCAGAACCACCACCATTGCAATTTGTACCCAGTTAAAAAACAAAGATACATTATGATTAGGACTCCTCCATGGGGTTTGAGGCCATTACGTTGTAATGGTGAGCTCAAACCTTAATAACATTACAAAGATTGCATTTTACAGATTCATTTCAAGATTCTCCAATCCAAAACTCCACACAACCTAATTACAGAAAAACCAGGGAGAAGTAATCAGTCTTATTTCAAGATCTAGGGTTTTGATCTCTTTTCGTTTTTTTATTTTCACAGAGGATTTTCTGGGTTTCTTTTTTAATATTTTTTATTGGTCGTTTGTTACCGAAAAAGGATTACACGGATCTTAGATTTTGGTGACTTTTCCCTAAATGAGTGTTACGGTGGATTCCAGATCTGACTCAGAGTACATGATTTTATGTTTTATCTCGTAAAAGAATCACAAATATTAAAAGAACCACAAATATTAAAGAGTTGTTTGACAAAATTAAAGAAGAAAATTTGCAATATGAATCTTTAATGGAAAAAAAAAAAAAAAAGCGGCAGTGGAGATCCTTACCAGAGAAGCGAGCGGAGAAGCAAAGTCGAAGCAGTCGATTGAATTTGAGAGAAATCGGAAGGAAACGAAACGCTTCCAATGAACAGAGAGAATCGGGAGGAAAGGGAAGAAGGAATGTGATCTGTCTGAAAGCTGAGTAGAGAAGAATGGAGTGGTCGGTGCAATATATATAGAGAGAAGAAGACCGTTGGGAACAGCTGTATTTCCAATTTTGCCCCTAAACCTTTCTAAATTCCCTTTAAACCCTCCCCCTTCCCGCCAATAACCTCTTCCAAAACGCTGTCGTTTGTAGGTTATGGGTTGGAAAAAACTGGGCTATTAAATTAATTTAATTATAATTATAATTATAACTATAATTTGCAAGCAAAATAATAATGTATAACAAACAAATTAAAAATACCAAAAAAATCATAAAATATATACTTAAAAATTATTATTTATTTTTCCTAAAAATTAAATTTAACTATTAAATCAAACTTTGAAACTAAAGCTATTATAAAAGTATACTTAATAATAAATATCTTATATCTTTATCTTTATATTTAATAATTTATTAAATTATACGACTATACGAATAAATATTAAATTGAATGTATATTATCAAATTAGTTAATTAAATATATCATTATTTTAATTTTTTCAAGGTGAAGGTTAAATATTATATGAAGACATGATTTTTTTAAAAATAATTTTGAAACAATATCACAAATAATACTAATAAATTAAATTTAAAACAACAAATTAAATTGCACTAATATTTAATAAAAATATTTTATTGTCTCAAAATGTTAACTTAATGACTCTTCCACATTGATCTAATGAATTTAAGATTCTGATTCCTAAACTCCCCTTAATAAATCAAACTCAGAATAGAAAAAATAGAATAGTATATATATTCCCTTACAACTTATCTAATTAATGTTCATTGATAGCAGTAATGAAAAATTATTACTTATTATATTCCAATCTATACCATAATAGGATACTCAGTAAGGAATAATCACATAAAAAACTATAGAAAATCTCGAAAAGAAAAACAAAATAACTTAAATATGTATTCGGATCAATAGAAGAATAAGTTGAAATAAGATAAAATAAAAGAGACTACCTGCTTCAATAATTTCCTTCAGGAGAAGCTGTTCACAAGTCATATATTCATGTACCGAAAATCAAAAGAGATTAAAGGTATATATTATTTATATATAGAAGCCAACCGTACTATTTCATCCAGCTCATTCGTAGAAAAAATAAAAGGAACAAAAAAGAAAAACAACTTGAGATGGAAGAGCATATAGCCCTTGATTAATATCATGCAAGGAAGGTGGAGCTGACTAGTTTTCAGTCTTTACCCAAAACTTGAACCAGCACTAAGCACTCCATTGCCGAAACAAAACAGTAAAACTGCAATACCCAAAGTCTTTATAAGGCAAGTCTCATTCTTTCCTGATGAAATATTTTTCACTAAATACCATACTCCACCTAAACAAGATACATAAAGTCGTGTGAGGAATACAGCAGCTACTCCTAGCAGTTCCAATCTGTCCACCAAAATCCTACTACAGACAAAACTCCATATCGTGTGTTTCCTTTATTCTGACCTCTTGCATGACTTACTTCCCATAGGCTTATGCATGAACATTCATATATTATAGCCCGGAACTAACAATAGATGAACTTGTTCTTTGCCCTAGTCTTGTGAAGCTCAAAGTTTTACACAAAAATGTATTTTACGAAGGTTATGGTAATAGTTTGGCTGTCAATTTTTTTTTTTTCTTTGTTGTAGAACTCTGAGCTAGTGTTCAATTAGTAAGATTTGACAATCTCATGCTTTTTAAAAAGTCTCTCTAAAACCTACAACCTCAAGATAACACTCTAAATGAGTGGGGTATTACTATATTATTTATGCATATAAGATGATCGAGTCAAATACTCCAAAAGTCTGAAGCAATTGACTGCAAGCATATTGCACAGTGGTAGACAATTTTCACAATGATGTTGCAAGCATAACGATTGCAAATTAATCATTATGAAAAATTAGCGGAGAAACGAAGATAGAAGGACCGAAATGAAATATAAGAATTTTCGAAGAGGGTAATTTATGATTATTGTCAATGAATTGAAGATGGTAATTTGTGATTTTCAATGAGCCGAACCTTCATGGATACTTTTATCGCTTTCTTTTCTTTGGGTATTAGGGTTGGTTATTTTCTAGTTTTTAATGTGTAAGTTTTATAACTTAAAATATTAATTTTGTTCTCGATCTTGTGAATGTTAAAGTTTTTTTTCAAGTTGAGTTCATAATTCTTTTAGACTCGATTTTAATTAATATACAAAGTGTTAAAAACTTAATAAAAATTCTCTAAGTAGGATTTGTTTTTCATTAAAAAAATTAGAAAGATTGAAAAATAGTTGTAATCGAACTTTTTTTAATTTATTAATAATATGATTGAATAGATTAAATAAAATAAATATATTTTTCTCGTTAAGTTTAATAAAATTTAATAATTATTATTATTTTAAAACACACAAAATAAATAGTAAACTAAAAGAATTTTCTTCATTTTTGGTTGGAATTAAATTTATATATATATATATATATATATGAATTGAAAGAAGCATGAGAAAATGTTAATTTGATCCAAAAATCTTGTAATTAACAAATATGAACAAGAATGCTAATAATATATGAACTGGGCAGATGGTGGACAAGAACAGGCATGTAATCAAGTTTTGATTTTAAAGCTTCTGGTAACAGGTGGGTTTTCTGGATATTCAAGTCCAGAGCTTCTTCTCCAGCATTTCATCCACTGTCCCAACCAGATCAAACAGATTCATTCCCTTCTTATCACCCGCGGCTCTCTCCTCAACCACACTTCTTCATGGAACACCGTTCTCATTTACAACACTCTCATTTGATCTTATCTCTCTACGGGACTCTCTCGTACTTCTTTACTACTTTTCACCCGCATGATTTCACAGGGACTTTCACCAAACCATCTCACTTTCCCATCTCTAATCAAAGCTGCTTCTTGCTCTCCCTCATCTGGTCCAATTCTCCATGCTCATGCTCTCAAATGGGGTGTTTTATGCGACCCATTTGTGCAAACTTCATCCGTGAATGTGTGACGACGAAGTGTGTGACATACGCAATGCACGTGAGATGTTTGTGGAAATTCCTCATCCATGTATTGTAGCGTGTAATGCTTTACTTGACGCTTTTGGGAGGAATGGAGACATGGGTTCTGCTTTTCTGTATTTCCAGAGCATGCCCGAGAAGGATGTGGTTTCATGGGCGAGTGTTATTAATGGGTTCGTGATGAATGGACTTGATGCATTGCGGATTTTTGCAAAGATGATGGATCACGAGGATGTGGTCCGCGGTTCCGTGAAGCCTAATGAGGCTACATTTGTTACTGTGCTGTCTTCTTGTGCTAATTTAGATGGAACTGGTCTTTATCAAGGGAAGCAGATACATGGATATGTTGTTAAGAATGGGTTCAGTTTGAGCGCTGTCGTGGGGGCTGCGTTGGTAGATTTGTCTGGAAAGGCAGGTTGTTTGGAGACTGCAAAAAGAGTAGTCAATCGGATAGAGGTTAAAGAGGTTTTCACTTGGAATCCAATGATTTCTTCACTTGCCTGTCATGGCAGGGCGAAGCAAGCTCTATGTATGTTTGAGAAGATGAAAGTGCAAGGATTTTGCTCCAATGAGGTTACCTTTGTTGCTATTCTTACATCTTGTGCTCGAGCAAAACCTGTTGACTTGGGTTTGAAGTTGTTTCCGTCAGTGTCAAGTCGATATGGGATTGTACCAATAATGGAGCATTATGGCTGTGTTGTTGATCTATTGGGCAGAGCAGGAATTCTGAGAGATGCAGTTGGGTTTGCACTTAGCATGCCCTTCATGCCTGATGCCTCTGTTTTGGGAGCTCTTTCTGGTGCTTGTAAGATTCATGGGGACGTTCAGTTGGGAAATGAAGTAGGAAAGAAGCTCAGTTGGGAATTACAGCCAAAACATTGTGGCCGATATTTCGTGTTGTCAGATGTAAGTGCCGTTGGGGAAAGGTGGGGAGATGCTGCTAATTGGAGGAAAGTGATGGCAGAGTCTAAAATCCGAAAAATTCCAGCATGTAGTTTGATTGGCTCGGTCAAAGTTGATTCACTAAGCGGATAATTTGTCTATTAATCAGTTCATACATGTTTGTGCACCAGATAACATCACACAAAGGACATTTACCTATTGACCGAATTTGAGTAAGGTTTCTACATCCGGGATTCTGATGTGATTTATCTTTTTTCCTCTAGTTGTAAGATTAACCTAGTATATGGGAATACAGATACTAGAAGGGATTTTTAGGTCATAATTTCTATAAGTGACAATTGATAGATTTGGTTGACTACTGAGTTGTTTATGTGAATATGAAGCAAATTTTATATGTGAGTGATAGATAAAACACGTAAAACGTTTTTAGAATTATTTTATATGTGGAATCGATTCTTGAGACATGAATTTGCTATTTTTATTCAGAAAGTTTTCCTAGGAAGGATGTGTTAATGGATTAAGTATTATTAATTAGTTTGTGAATTGCTTTTAGTAAGGCAATTAGGTTTTTTCATAGATGATGATGCATGAGGATGAAGCTGGAGGGTTTGCAAAGCCCTTTCTAATTATTATGTTAACTTAAATTAAGGTGGCATTTATAAAAGGAAGCATTTACATGGTTAGACTGTTAGGGATGAGATTTTCTTCAGGTATTTGTATGGTGATAGATGTATTGGGAGACTAATTAAAGATTAGAGTATCTAATTGAATGGAACTCAAAATCTTATGGATAATTTTTAATGTAGTATGAAGTTATGGTACTTAAATGATAATTGGTCCTAGAAGAGAACTCTAGGATCCGATCAATTCTAGGATCTAATCAAGAATACCTAAAAGTCCTCTGTATTTATCACATGTAGTTATTAATTAATACCTTGTAAAAGCTAAAATGCATTGTTGGAGTAATTAAAGAAGACGGAAATTTTGTTAAAGGCAAATGGTAAGATGTGATTTAGCTCACTGGCTTATCATGATTGTTAAAGTGGAAATTTCCTCCAAAAAAATATCATAATTGATTTGCTTGAGCCAACAAATTTATGTCGATCCTTGGTGCTTTATTATCTATTCATCACCCATCTGCTTTCAATCGATACTCCTGAAATTTTTGGTTATCAATGGATGCAGCGAGTGCAGAGCAGCGAGCTTCCTCCTCATGTTCTGGATATGCTTAGTATATGTTCTTAAGTTTACGAGGTGCTGGAGCTTCACGGATCACCTTTATAGGGCCCTACTGCGGGCAGGAATTCGTACATCTAAATATGATGATGGGGTTGAAAGAGGAAAGGATATGAATAAAATAACTTGAAAAAGCCATTGGAGTCTCAATATAAATAATTATCTTCTCCTAAAATTGTGACTCTTCTCTGTGGTTTCCTGATGAACTAGGTAAGATCATGTAACACAGGAGAACCACTGAACAGATATCTTGCCAGTGTTCTATGAAGTAGATCCAACACATGTTAGGAAGTATACTGCGAGGGAGTTTTTCTGAAACAATTGCCGCACATGAAGAGCACCTAAAAGATGTAAAGAACAAAATACAACAGCTGAGGTGCTGCGAGGGAGGTTGCTGACTTGGGAGGAATGATTTTTGTGACATATGTAAGCTTGATCTCAGCTTTCTTCTCAATAAACTACAAACTATTACCATGCATTTTCTTTGTGTTAATTCTAGAGCAGAGGGTTTAGAGACACGGCCATAATTTTGTCGAAAGCATTGTGAAATATATAAGTTTCCTGTGTTTTATGGATTTTTATTTTTATATGTGCTCCATAACACACTTCTCAAATTTAAATTATCAATTTACATGGATAACTGTGCATATAATAAATTATATTTACTTGGTTAGTGTAACTGTTATTTTCAAAACTCTACGTTCTCTGCTTGTTGAGATTTTTACTAAATTTCAGCAGTTGGGAAACAATCATAACTTTCGTTTTTTTTTTCTCTAGGCAGGCATGAGGCACTGTTCGATGTCACCCAATAGTTAGTTGGAAGAGATGATCTTGGAGAAGAAATCAAGCCTGAACTCAAGATGGATCAAATGGAGTTGACATAGCAAGTGGGATTGCAGGGACAGGGAAGACGATATTTGCTAAGACTGTTTATAACATGAACATTTAAAAATTCAGAGACAGAAGATTTCTTGCAGACGTCAGAGCAACTGCTGCACAATTTCCACGGTTTGCTTCACTTACAAGAACAACTTCTTTTGGATTTATCAAGATTTAGAAATACAAGTTCAACAATGTTGATGAGGGGATTAGTAAGATAAAAAAGAATTATATGCTTTATAGGAGTTCTTGTTGTTCCCGATGATGTGGATGACTCGGGACATTTAGATAAAATAATTGGAATGCTAGAATGGTTTTCCCCTGGAAGCAAAATCATTATAATTAGGAATCACCAGCTTTACGTATTTTTAAATCTGAGCATCTTTGAGGACTAATTTTTTGTTCATTGATTCTCATATTTGCTTGGCTTTTTTGCAAGAGCAAATACACAGAGAACAAATAGTCAGAAAGAGAGAAAGAATTGCATAGAGAAGCTCATAGCGTCCACAGTGGAGTTGGCTGAGGCTCTTTCTTGCCCGCGCTTGGTGTGAATGCAACCAAAGTTAGGTATGAATTTTTATTAAAACTTTATATTACATTAAAATATTAGGTACAATAAAGTTAAGATTGAAAATTCTTTTTCACAAAAAAAAGGTACAGAACATATTTTTACCTTTGCTTAATTTAAAAAAAAAAAAATAGGAGGAAGAAGTATGCTAACAAATTAAGAAGATCACTTTTTTACCTAGCTTCTTCTATACTGAAACATGGGCAGAAGCAGCGGATCAGACGAGAACCCAGCTGAAGAACAACGTACCCGCCTGATCTTTCTTTTCTAACTATCTCAACAACAGGCTCAGGCATGTCATACACATGATTTTCAACCATATATTGCTGATACATTGACCTACTTGTGATTATACCTTCGTCTACTTGAGGTAATTTTGAATGGATTAATTTACTTTCTTCTACACCTTCTGTTTTATCAGCTTGAATCTGATATGAGAATTCATCAGGCCATGGTGGCAATGGAGGAGCTGAGGGCTGGACGGAGGAGCATGAACAGCAACAGCAATGGTGCGCCAGAACAGGGTAGTAGGGCTCCTCAAGGTACTTCCTTTTCTTCCTGGATCTTGACCAGAATTTGAGCTTTTTCACAGCCTTCATCATTTTCATGGTAACACCCAGATAGATTTTTAGAAAGAAACAAAGACTTATAGGGTAAAATGATTTCTTTTAAAAGAAGATACATCCAAACTTTTTTCAAATTTTTTGACCGTTGTGTCTAGCTTTTCTTCAATGAGTTAAAGGTGGTGGACCCGTGTGATTCTATACCATCATAAGTTCAAACAACCGGCTGAATCACAAAGTTCAATTCTAATATGGTATGAACACGGTTTAGGGTAACAATAGATGGAATCTTGAGCGAATTTTATAAACTTCGATTTCGATATAATCTTATAATTTTAAAATCTAAAAGTTCATTAAACTTGAGTAGTATTAAAATTTAATTAAATTTTGTATCTAATTAAATTTCTGATTAAATCTACATAATTTAAATAATATATTATATATAAATATGTTATTTAAATTAAATATATATTACTATAAAACTATATTTTTAATTTAAATCATCCCTAAAATGATTATGGGATAAAATCTTTACCGGTAAGTTTAAATATATTAATCGCTTGTTCGATTGGCTTAATTCATATATTTAGTAAAGTGTTTATTTACGTTTGTTTGGTTTAGTTTTCACCCAAACTTTAATTTATAAAATATTTTTATAGTTTGACATAAATTTTTGAATATATTCTAATATTTATTTTTTGTTTTTTCAACTGAAAAAAGAAATAAAAAATGATAGTAATTATAAATGTTGATATCTTTTTTTAGAAAAATAAAATGCCGATATCCTTATATTATGAAATTATATTATAATAAATAAAATTTTGTTCTAAATATTTTTTAAAAAATAATTAATTAAAAATTTAAAACTAATTAAGAACCCAAATAATAAGTAAGAGCTATTTAATTTAAAATATAAAATAAAATTAACTCTTAATTCTAGTTAATTTGGGAGATTTTTAAGTTTGGGGTTGATTGGTCGAGTATAAAATATTTGTATGAATTTTTCTTTTTTAATCTCATAGTTGATGACTATAAATATTGATTCCGTACACATTTACTTCATCATTTAGGGGATGATAAGAATTAAACTATGATCAATATGCCAAAGAAAAAATTGAGAGATCACAAGAACATTTTATTACACTGCAAAGGAAATACAGAGAAAGCTTACAATCAACTAGAAAAGAAAGATTCCAACAATGAAAAAAATTCAGTGTTATCCTCCATTGTTGAAGAATTAACATAGTCGTCACCAAGAAGCAAGTCATTGTCAGTTGTTGCTCCAGTAACTGAAAAACTATTATCTTTAAAATTTGATTCAGACAAATTCTGCTTGTCTATGCCTTTATCACTATGAGAAAATAGTGGAACTAATCCAGTAGCATTATCTTGAAGAAATGAAGGATTCTCATATCTGAATTCCCACTCAAAAGAAGTATTGATATGGTGATCCAAGTCATCGGAGGAGAAGGATGGTGAAAATTGTTCATTTTGACTGTATGAAGTAGTGATCTTATCATTCATCCAACTAAAATTTTGATCACCAATACAAAAAGACGTAGCACATCTCTCGATGCCATTAGAGAAAAATAATGGGGGTTCAAATGTAGTACCCATATCACAGTGATAGTTCTCAATATCTTGGGTGCCATTGTTGGTATTGTGTGTAAACATAATAGAGTTTAGAGGCAACATCTGCATAAAAGCAACATTGTTCTTGTTTCCATCAACGTTCACCATATTTTGATCAATGCAACCATCTTGATAAGTAGAAGTTGATAAATTTTGAAACACAACAGATGACATAAACTGACTCTGATCGCCACTTTCATTATTGTACTCATGACTAATATTCATTATATTTTCAGCAAAGCACCCAAGATGATAGTTTTGATGATCACCACTACCAATATCTTGATAATTTTCGACGCCATTAGAGAAGAATAATGGGGCTTCAAATGTAGTACCCATATCATTGTGATAATTCTCAATATCTTGGCTGTCATTGTTGGTATTGTGTGTAAGCATAGTAGATTTTAGAGGCAACATTTGCATAAAATCAACATTGTTCTTGAATCCATCAATGTCCACTATATTTTGATCAATGCAACTACCATGATAAGTAGAAGTTGATAAATTCTGAAACACAACGGATGTCATAAACTGACTTTGATCACCACTCTCTTTACTGTACTCATTATTAATGTTCATTATATCTTCAGCAAAGCACCCAAGATGATAGTTTTGATGATCGCTACTGTTAATATCTTGATTATTAGAAGTTGATAATTTTTGAAGTTTGAGCGCCACATTTTCTCTCACATTTTCTAACTTCTCGATGATTGATGTCACCTCTTCAGGTGTTTGGTAAACATCAAAGTCTTCATTTTCCCCCCAAAACTCTTCAGACTCTCTCTTTCTCTTCTTGGTCTTGGACACATTATTGTTAGGAGTTAATTGCTCCATATTTTGATGAGACGAAGAAGTAGAAAGATTATTGTAATTGTTGATGGGATGAGAGACATGGTTATTGAGGAATGTGTCGAGAAGAAGATTGATGTTAGGGTGTGCAAAAGTATAAAACTTTTCTTTGGCCAAAGGAGCAGAAACCAAAATTACAACCTGAGCATTGCAGAGAACACACAATTCTGCTGCTTTGTTAAACAGACCCGTTCCTCTTTTACTGAATGTAACAACTCTCTGCTTTTTTGTTTCACGTTTTTGCGTTGGAATTTTTCTTTTTTTCACTGAACTGCAAGTAGTTGCACTCATTTTTTCTGATCGAATTGTAGGTGAAACTTTCTGATAAAAATATTACAATACGTCAACTTTCATCTCACTAAAAAAATACTTATTGTAATTTAGAATACAATTCATTATATTACTATTTTCTAGCAAACCAATACACTATAATTGTTTTACACAAATATTATACATTATAATTACTGGATATAGCACAATATACTGTATAAATATACTTGTATGTCAAATAATTAACATTCTTATTTACAAACTAAGAAATTAAGTTCGCCAACAAAATTCAGTTTATTTTTTATTTCAATTTAAGTCTTATTTACCATCAAATTGAAGAAGTAAATTGATAATGTCTTAGTATAACATTTTTAATATTATAATATTTTAATTTAATCTTATTTGCTTGTTAAAATTTGAAGATTAAACCTTGTTGTCGGTCAATACAATTTTAGATGCAATTAAATTTTACAAACACATCAAAAAAATATAATATGCATTACAATTCGGTTCAACTCTCCATAATATATCATAAATAATAGCAATAATAAAATTCATCGCAAAAATATTATTACAATCCCATTCGGCTCCATGTCAATACAAATAACATACACTTCAACTTAGTTAAAATCAAATTATAATTTGTGCTCGTTAATAATAATAATAATACAACTGAGTTTAGCAACTTATAAAACCCATAAAAGTTAATAAACTTCATAATAATAAGAATATAGTTTAATTATATAGACAAAAAATACAAGTCAATGGGCTTCGTTACATTCATTATATTGTTGAATGAAACTAAAATATTTGAAACCCATAATTCAAAATCAATATTGTGTGTCATATCATCATGATAATAATAATATTACAACGCAATAGGCTCGAACTTTATAACTATTACATACAACCCGTAAAAAATATAACAAAACTTCCTAACAATATTAAAACAATTCAATAGGCTTGATACCTATGAATATTACATATATATTGTAATACGGAATACAACCAAATGATCCGAAATCCATTATTCAAATACAATAATGTGGGTAATATCATGACGAAAATAATAAAAATACAATCCTATAGGCTCAAAACTTATAAATATTATATACAACCTGTAAAAAGTATAACAAAACTTAATAACAATATTAGAAGATAAATAAACAGACTTGACGCCTACAAATATTACGTACATATTGTAATATGGAATACAACCACAAGATCCAAAACCCATAATTTGAGTACAACTAATTGAAAAAATATATAATAATAATAATAGAACCTAATAGGCTTCTCATCCAATAAAAATTGATATACATTGGAATTTTAACTCTAAATCCTGAATAATTGAAATAACAAACATAATAATACGCAGAGAACCTGTAATAATACAATCCATTATACAATTGTAGTTTGTCCTCAAACTAAATAAAAATTATATACATTATAATTAGTCCTCAAACCCCAAATAGCAGAACCACCACCATTGCAATTTGTACCCAGTTAAAAAACAAAGATACATTATGATTAGGACTCCTCCATGGGGTTTGAGGCCATTACGTTGTAATGGTGAGCTCAAACTTTAATAACATTACAAAGATTGCATTTTACAGATTCATTTCAAGATTCTCCAATCCAAAACTCCACACAACCTAATTACAGAAAAACCAGGGAGAAGTAATCAGTCTTATTTCAAGATCTAGGGTTTTGATCTCTTTTCGTTTTTTTATTTTCACAGAGGATTTTCTGGGTTTCTTTTTTAATATTTTTTATTGGTCGTTTGTTACCGAAAAAGGATTACACGGATCTTAGATTTTGGTGACTTTTCCCTAAATGAGTGTTACGGTGGATTCCAGATCTGACTCAGAGTACATGATTTTATGTTTTATCTCGTAAAAGAATCACAAATATTAAAAGAACCACAAATATTAAAGAGTTGTTTGACAAAATTAAAGAAGAAAATTTGCAATATGAATCTTTAATGGAAAAAAAAAAAAGAAAGCGGCAGTGGAGATCCTTACCAGAGAAGCGAGCGGAGAAGCAAAGTCGAAGCAGTCGATTGAATTTGAGAGAAATCGGAAGGAAACGAAACGTTTCCAATGAACAGAGAGAATCGGGAGGAAAGGGAAGAAGGAATGTGATCTGTCTGAAAGCTGAGTAGAGAGAGAAGAATGGAGTGGTCGGTGCAATATATATAGAGAGAAGAAGACCGTTGGAAACAGCTGTATTTCCAATTTTGCCCCTAAACCTTTCTAAATTCCCTTTAAACCCCCCCTTTTGCCGCCAATAACCTCTTCCAAAACGCTGTCGTTTGTAGGTTATGGGTTGGAAAAAACTGGGCTATTAAATTAATTTAATTTAATTTAATTATAATTATAATTATAATTATAACTATAATTTGCAAGCAAAATAATAATGTATAACAAACAAATTAAAAATACAAAAAAAAATCATAAAAATAATAAATTAATCATAAACTTACAAATTTAAATTAAAAAAGAGATTGGTCAATTACAGAATTTTTTAGAAAAAAAATATATTATTTTTAAAATTAAACCAAAACAAAATAGATATTTAAAAATTATTATTTATTTTTCCTAAAAATTAAATTTAAAATAATAAATTAAATAGCATTAATATTTAATTAAAAATATTTTACTGTTTTTTCTAATTTCTTATACTTTGTATTATCTCTTTCTCAAAATGCTAACTTACTCACTCCTCTACATTGACCTAATGTATTTAGGATTCTAATTCCTAAACTCCCCCTAATAAATCAAACTCAGGATTAAAAAAAATAGAATAGTATATATATCTCCTTACTACTGACCTAATTAATGTCCATTGATAGCAGTAATGAAGAATTATCACTTATTATATTCCAATCCATGACATAATAGGATACTCAGTGAGGAGTAATCACGTAAAAAATTATAGAAAATCTCGAAAAGAAAAACAAAACAACTTAAACATGTATCCGGATCAATAGAAGAATAAATTGAAATAAGGTAAAACCAAAAAAGCTACCTGCTTCAATAGCCTCTTTCAGTAGAAGCTGCTCACAAGTCAAATATTCATGTACTGGAAATCAAAAGAGATGAAATGTATATATTATTTATATACAGAAGCCAACCGTACCATCTCATCCAACCCATTCATAGAAAAAATTAAAAGGAACAAAAAAGAAAAATAACTTGAGATGGAAGAGCATATAGCCCTTGATTAATATCATGCAAAAAAGGTGGAGCTGACTACTTTTTAATCTTTACTCAAAACTTAAACCAGCACTAAGCACTCCCTTGCCAAAACAAAACAGTAAAACTGCAATACCCAAATTCTTTATAAGGCAAGTCTCACTTTTTCCTGATGAAATATTTTTTACTAAATATCATCTGCACCTAAACATGATGCATAAAGTCGTGTGAGGAAAACAACAGCTACCGCTAGCAGCTCCAATCTGTCCACCAGAATCTTGCTACAGACAAAATCCCATATCGTGTTTTCCCTTTCTTCTGACCTCTTGCACGACTTACTTCCGATAGACTTCTACAGGAACATTCATATATTAGCACCCAGAACCAACAATAGATTAACTTGTACTTTGCCTTAGTTTTGTAGAGTTTAAAGTTTTACACAAAAAATATATTTTACGAAAGTTATGGTAATAGTTTGGCTGTCAACTCTTTTTCCTTATGTAGAACTTTGAGCTTTTGTTCAATTAGTAAGATTTGACAATCTCATTCTTATTAAAAATGTTATTTAAAGCTTGCAATCTCCAAACATCACTCCAAATAAGTGAGTTATTACTATATTTTTTCTGCATAAAAGATGATCAGGTCAAACACTCGAAAAGTCTGAAGCGATTGACTGTAAAAATATTGCACAATGGCAAAAAATTTTCATAATGATGTTGCAAGCATAACGATTGCAAATTAATCCTTACAGAAAATTAGCGGAGAAACGAAGATAGAAGGACCGAAATGAAATATAAGAATTTTTGAAAAGGGTAATTTATGATTATTGTCAATGAATTGAAGATGGTAATTTGTAATTGTCAATGAGCCGAACCTTCATGGATACTTTTATCGTTTTCTTTTCTTTGGGTGTTAGGGTTGGTTATTTTCTAGTTTTTAATGTGTAAGTTTTATAACTTAAAATATTAATTTTGTTTTCGATCTTGTTAATGTTAAAGTTTTTTTTCAAGTTGAGTTCATAATTCTTTTAGACTCGATTTTAATGAATATACACAGTGTTAAAAACTAAATAAAAATTCTCAACGTAGGATTTGTTTTTCGTTAGAAAACTTAGAAAGATTGAAAAATAGTTGTAAACTAAAAGAATTTTCTTCATTTTTGGTTGGAATTAAATTTATATATATATATATATGAATTGAAAGAAGCATGAGAAAATGTTAATTTGATCCAAAAATCTTGTAATTAACAAATATGAACAAGAATGCTAATAATATATGAACTGGGCAGATGGTGGACAAGAACAGGCATGTAATCAAGTTTTGATTTTAAAGCTTCTGGTAACAGGTGGGTTTTCTGGATATTCAAGTCCAGAGCTTCTTCTCCAGCATTTCATCCACTGTCCCAACCAGATCAAACAGATTCATTCCCTTCTTATCACCCGCGGCTCTCTCCTCAACCACACTTCTTCATGGAACACCGTTCTCATTTACAACACTCTCATTTGATCTTATCTCTCTACGGGACTCTCTCGTACTTCTTTACTACTTTTCACCCGCATGATTGCGCATGGACTTTCACCAAACCATCTCACTTTCCCATCTCTAATCAAAGCTGCTTCTTGCTTCCCTCATATGGCTCAATTCTCCATGCTCAGGCTCTCAAATGGGGTGTTTTATGCGACCCATATGTGCAAACTTCATGCGTGAGGGTGGAGTTGCCGAAGTGTGTGACATACTCAATGCACGTAAGATGTTTGTGGAAATTCCCCATCCATGTATTGTGGTGTTTAATGAGAAGGACGTGGTTTCATGGACGAGTGTCATT